ACCACGCCATATAATGGTGGGACCCATGGCAGAAACAGCATCTTTAGTTAAGTATTCTTGTTATATTTTCTTGATCTTTATCTGAATCTGTCATTGCTTGTAGTAAATATTTTACTTAGAAGTATTTGTGTGATCTCTCTTTGCACATATTGAATACAAAACCCTAACCTGTCATTATAGTGAACGGGGCCGCTAACACTTGCCTGTGTGAATGTAGCCTAACCAACTGCAAATATGAAAATCAAACCTAACAAATGATTATTTTTTAATCTAGATCCCACCTCAGATACAGATCTATGGCAACTGTTGTCATTACAGATATTAGGTCGTAATAGTAGAAAAATAATAATCCCGTATTTCTATTGCTTCCCGAATGGACATAATATTCTGTTCACAGCAAACAAGACAGAGCAGATTTATGATTTTTATTGTTAAATATTTGACAGACTTGCACTATATCATGTAGATGTCAAGCATTCCATACAAATGGCTCAGGAGTAAGATGAGACTCATGAACAAATTTATAGCACAGCTGCGTCATAGCAGACCAGCTTCCTTTCATAGCATTTCTACGGTTCAGAGTTTCTGCCAACTTATTCTGTTACTTGCAAGTGTTCTTAATCAAGTGACACCCTTTGAATCTCTTATTATTAAAAAAAACTGAGGGAAGTTGAGGACTGAAATGATTTAAGCTCACTGCATAGAATAACAGCACTTCCATTGAGTCATTACCACAACTGATCACTTTCATGATGCTAGGGCTTTTATAGTTGTAGGAAAATGTTTTTAATCTGGGTGTGTGTGCTTGCTTTTGTCTCAGCTGCTGTTTTTATTGGAAGCTTTTTGCTAAATTCTTTATTTTTAATCCACATCATATACAATGTATTAGCAGTAACTTTTATATCAGCATACCCGGGAACTTTTCAAAGTCAGTGACACTGGGGAGGGGTAACAGATGGGACAAGGGGACGGGCCTATAGTGGTATGCAGACTCTGCCATGTTGAAATCAAATCACTGATTTATTAGCAATTCACATAGCCAGATATGGGAATAACAGTGCTATGCATTCATAGTGACAGGCTTGCAGGAGATTATAGTAATTAGGATCTCAATATGAAGGCCAAAAAAAAATATAGAATAATAGAATACATGAGCAACAAATGGGCAATCATGAAAAAATGCAGTCAAGCGATAGGTCATTGACATAATATATGGGCTACAAACAGGCAGACAGACCTTCTTTATTCCCTATTCTTCTGTGATTTGTTTGTGTCAGCTGATGGACAGCAGACATACCTAACAGGAGCTAGTTAAAAAAATAGAAAGTTTGAAAGTACAAGCAACAGACAGGAAGCTTGCCAAGATGCAGGCAACAAACAGGCAATTGTGACAAATATGTGGGCAACAAACAGGCAATATGTGGGCAACAAACAGGCAACTGTAACAATATGTGGTAGTGACAATAAGGCCTGATGCACACTGGTTTATTCTAAACGCTGTTTCTTCTGAAAGGAGAAAATCAGCACTAAAAACTAACCTAAGCTGTGTTTTTTAAAACCAGTTTAGGTGAGTTTAGCAGCGTTTGTGTGTTTATTTATTTGATAAGAACTGAATTTATTCATGCTAAATGTGCCTAGAGCTTAGGCACATTTATTTATTTTTATCTTTTATTTCAGGTACTTATATAGCGCTGTCAATTTATGCAGCGCTTTACATATATATTGTACGTTCACATCAGTCCCAAACCCTCAAGGGGTCCCTAATTTACCAATGACCCTAGTACTGCCAGGCGGAAGTGCTAACCATTTAGCCACTGTGCTTCCATTTACATGCGTTTAGAGGCATTCAGCATTTTTGTAGTAAAAAAGTCTCTCTGAACACGATTTTAGGGTGTTCAAAAAATGTCCTCTAAACTCCCCTGCTAATAAACTGCTGTAAATGTCTATGTGCGCATGGACACATAGGATAACATAGAGGGGAGGAAAAAAAATGCCAAAATGCACAAACACGTGAATTTAGGAGCAGCAATGTGCATTAGGCCTACCAGTGAAAAAAACTGAAGCTCAGTGTGTGTCTCTCCCACCTTCAGCTACTTTTACTCCAGGCCTCCAGAAAACAGCATGCTGGGATCTTTCTCATTAAGAAATGCTGCAGAAAGACACTGATTGCCCATTACCAGAGCAATATAAAAGACCCAAAATTTGTGGTCAAATGGAAAGAGCACAGCTTGCACCATCTTCCCAGCTCTCTCCCCCCCTCCTCATCGTAGGCTTACCACTCCCAGGCTTCAAGCAGACAGGGAGTGGTATTAAATGGCTGACATATTTGACATATTTGACATATTTTTGTGCTTCCTTTTTTTAGTAATATCATTATAGTGCATCAGATTTTCAATTCAATTGAAAATTTATGACAGACTTCAAGTGTATTTTCATTTTTGCAGCCAAATTGAGATAACACCTGTTTTATGTTTGTTACGTATCCCCATCCGCATAGTATAATTATAAAACATGTTTAAAAAGTGCAACTTACCTTTTTTAAATTCTCTATTCTGAAACCTTCAGCAAGGAATTATCCTACTCATTCTCTTTGTTTATGAGGGGGGTTGAGGAGCTGTGTTTGCCATAATTAATTATGTATGTCTGTACTGTGTTGGCAGATTTTTTTGTCTTATCAGTTGTAACTAGATTGGAACACTGTCTGTTCTAAGAAATGGTTAACAATTTAGAAGTTAGGCTTCTTGCATTGTAAGTTAATGAGGACAGACTTAGTACAGACTCAGTACAGACTCAGTCTGACATTATTCAAAACCATGCAGTCAGCCATAACACCTCCTGAGAAACATTTAAAAGGTAAGAAATATAAAAAGACAATAGGTATGCTGTGTGAATGGGAACACATATGAAACATATAGTGAGGTTTTCTCACATTCGACTGCAAAAGTGGAAATACACTTTAGGCCCCTTTCACACTGACTGTCGGTTTTTCGGGTGACCCCGCCCCTGTGACGTCATCACACTATTTAAGAGCTGTCATCGTGGCGCAGCTGTCAGTCGGTGATTGGCACACCCACTATCCTGAAATGAGGAATAAAACCCCTTATTTTATGTTGTGTTGGAAGTTAGACATGCAAATATTCTATGTTTTAAATTGGAACTAATGGCAACAATAAAAAAAATTATGAGCAGGCAGGCTATTTATCATGGAAGTGATATGCAGTGTCTATTCTGCAATAAAATATATCTGCCTGCCTGCTCACAGTCTTCTGTGGCATGTAAATTGAGCTGTGCAAGCACAGGCCCCTGCACGCTGGGATGAATGAACTCCAGCGCATGAGCATGAATTATGTCATCCTGTGCTGGCCAACCAAGACAGCCAAAGGGCAGCACTCAGAGGGAGCCAGGGAAAAGATGCAGGTACCAGTGAGGGACCCCCGTAGACTTTGGACCACTGGAGAGGAGGTGGGTGTGGTGCCTTTATTTCAGATTTAGGACAGCTCTAGTGTGTTGTCAGTGATCAGAACATTAAAGCGGAACTACACTAAATCCAAGCACCACAAACCAAAAGTGCTATTTCATTCATTTTTAATATTCAAAATAAACTCACCCATCCATCCATGTCCCCATGCTTTATTTGGCTGAGACCATCACTTTGAAAAACACCCCCCTAGCATTTCTGGTCATGGCCATCTTCAGTAAGGGAAGCTGATTCATGTAGCAACTACTTCCTGGAATCCATATGCCCTTAGCTCAGTAATACAGGAAGGAGGGTGTGCTTAGCTGAGAAAACCCCTCCTCCCCTCCTTAAAACTCCAGGGATGTATGACATCATTTGCTTAGGCCTAGAAACTAGGAAGTGACTAAATGTTAAAAAAAAAAAAAAACATTTCAAGCAAGTAAATATGATATAGATCCCTATCAATTTACTAATGCTAGCAGCATAAGGATTCAAAATAGTCAATGTTGATTGAGGGAGCGAAGTTCCACTTGAATGTGCAATTAGTAGTGCATACAATTTCTGTACTCATTCAGACCACAGTCTAGAGTTTTGAATTGGTATATGAATTTACATTCTCATTTTAATCTTTCTTACTGTAATTTGAAACTACCCTTGAGATCACTTAAACACCTGTTTTGTAGATGTTAATTGTAGATTTGTGTAGATTCATTCGTTGGCGAAGGATTTGGCCCATCTCCCCAGTGTAGAATCCTATATGGCATTTTGCACATAATATCAGCAACATCGGAAAAAAAAGTACCCTGTATTCTGTACTCCTGCTGTGAGCCTGATTTTATTGATTCTCTTGATATGTGCTCCAGTTTCAAATATTTTATGCATGCATAGAGATGTTCAGATTAGCATTGGGTTGTTCAGGGAACTTCACACAATCGGGTGTTTTAGATTGGGTTGTTGACTTATGTTTACCAATAAGGCCCCTGTCACTTGGGGCGGACTCTTATTTGATCAGCAGGGGATCTATCAGCTGATCCCCTGCTGATCGGAGCAGAGCCAGCAGATGACAGGTCCATGTGTCCGCTCAGTTTATGCAGAGCAGACATGGACAGAACCCACTCTGCTCTATGGTAAGTCTGGTGTAAACAGACTCCTAACTGCCCTCCAATCTGATCCAACTAGATGATGAAGAGAGAGGAGAGAGTCCCTTCTGTTTTTTTTTTAGTGGACCGGATTGCATTAGAGTTAGGCAGGTTTAAACGGACACAAATCTGTTTACACCTGCCGCTCCATAGGGAAGAATGGAGGGTCCAATTAGGTCCACCTGAAAAAACCGACAGGTGGACCTGATCTGACCCTTCTTGTGAAAGGGACCTTAAGGGTAAAGGCAAGTCACTTAACCACCTCCCACCCGCCATATAAGGAAATGACGGGGCGCAAGGTGGTTCTCTTGTTCTGGGAGGATGTCATATGACATCCTCCCACTCTAACCACGCGTGTGCGCCTCCCCCGGGGCACGCAGTGTGGAAATCGGTGGTGCGCTGTGTCCCTCGGACACAGCAGATCACTGATCAACAGAAAGAGCCAAAGACGTTGGCTCTGTCATGTGATCAGTTGTGTCCAATCACAGCTGATCGCATGTAAATAAGGAAATGCTGGTTACCGGCATTTCTTTTCTCACGAGCTGTCACGCTGACAGCTCGTGAAGAGAGGAGAGCTGGTAATTGGCATTCCTCAGAGGGGACATGTACACTGATCATCAGGGCACTGATGATCAGTGTGCCCTGATGATCAGTGTAGCCCCAGCAGTGCCACCTGTCAGTGCCCATCAATGCCAGCTGTCAGTGCTCATCAATGCCACCTGCCAGTGCCCATCAGTGCCACATATCAGTGCCTACCATTGCACATCAATGCCACATATCAGTGCCCATCTGAGCTGCCTTTCAGTGCCACCTATCAGTGCCAGTCAGTGTCACCTATCAATGCCAGTCAGTGCCACCTATCAGTTCTGCCAGTCAGTGCCACCTATCAGTGCCACCTAACAGTACCAGTCAGTGCCGCCTACCTGTGCCAGTCAGTGCCGCCTATCAGTGATGAGTGCTGCCTTTCAGTGCCCATCATTGATGCCTGTCAATGCCCATTAGTGCCACCTACCAGTGCCTCCTCATTAGTGCCCATCAGTGTCCATCAGTGCAGCCTATCAGTGCCCATCACTGCAGCCTCATTAGCGCACAACAGTGAAGAAGAAAAATCACTTATTTACAAAATTGTATAACAGAAACTAAGAAAAAACTTTTTTTTCAAAATTTTCAGTTGTTTTTGGTTTGTTTAGCAAAAAATAAAAACCCAGAGGTGATTAAATACCACCAAAGGAAAGCTCTATCTGTCTAAAAAAAATGATAAAAATTTCATATGGGTACAGTGTTGCATGACTGCGCAATTTTCATTCAACGTGTGACAGCACTGAAAGCTGAAAATTGGCCTGGGCAGGAAGGGGGTATAAGTGCCCTGTAGGCTAGTGGTTAAGCTGCAAACTTTGTTATAGCTGACACATTGCAAGGCTCGACTTCTGATAAAGTGTTTGTTTGTTTCATACAGCATGGATTTTTTTTTATACAGGGTGGGGTTTGGCTTATCTCCTCAATACAGGGTCCTGTAAGGCATTTCGCACATCTTGACTAATATTTCTTTGTAATGAAATAATTCTGAGACAAAAAGGACATAATAATGTGCCTTTGTTTTTAGAAAGCATCTATGGATGGGTTATATGATTATATAACATACTGCATACACAGGGGTACATTTACTATAACTGGAGCACTCAGAATCTGATGTCGCTGTGCCAGGTAGCCAATCCGCTTCTTATTTCACCTTGTTCAATTCATCTTTGGCAATAAAACCTGGAAACCGATTGGTTTCTTTGCAGAACTGCACCAGATTTTGCACTTTCAAGTCTCTCCACACACTACAGCCTTTCATCCAAAAATATATTTTTATTTAAAACAAAAAATTTAAAAAATCATTAAATACTGCAATGTGACTTGAAATTTGCAGTTATATTCAATTACTAAAAAAAAAGTTTCTCTGTGGAGTTTTAACCGCCAACATTCTAACCACATAGACTCTAGCATATTATTCTGGGGAAGAGAAAGTTTTATATTTTGCAATGGCTCACATGATAAATACTACGTACTTCTGTAAAGTTTAAATAGTGAAACCAGCAGATAATGACTATATTCTGAAAAAGGAGGGGGCTTGGAATGTAAACCTTACAGCAGGCTTCAGGGTACTGGAGAATAATATACCGCCTCCATACCTTGCGGGATAGGACTGGTAGGCTGAGAATAATTCTGCTGCTGATGGGATCCGCTCCAGTTTTATGTTCTTCTTTTAGGCTCTGAGCATTTATTAATTAGCTAGACGGCACACAAAAAAACATTATGATCACCAATAATGAGAATAATAATTCTGAGCTGATGTATGAAATGTATTTTGTCCCATTAGCTTTCAACTGTCATTTCTGCAGTGCATGTTTTAATATGAAATGAGGATTTATTATTGGTTTCTATGAACAAAAATATATTTTTTCTTTTAGCACAGTGTTCTTGCTTCAGCTATAATAGGATCCATGTTTAAGGAAGACTTGTGACAGAGTTTTGTAATCTTGTTTTATTAACCTCTTAAAGTTGAATTACATATGATACAGTTTATCACAGTTTGTCCTCCCAGTAACATAGTTTCCTTGTTTGCCTGGCCATTCAATTTGTTATTTTTTAACTTCCATGAAGACCTCTTTTACATGAGCAGACCAATCGGTTCCGCCTATCCATTTTTCAGGAGGACCTCGGGTTGCCACCTCATCCCTTTAAAACCGAACACATATTAATTTCACAGGTTCTGTGGCTGATTGTGGTAATTAAACTCATTTAGTGCCTTAACTGCATTAAATTAGCCTCAGAACCTGCCTAATTAATACGTGTTTGGTTTTAAAGGCATGAGGTGGCAACCCTAGGCAGACCAGATCGGACCACCCATTGTTCTCTCTATGGGGAACCGGATGTAAACGGACACACATGGACACGGATGTGCACTGGAGACTCGAATATCCTGGGACACCCTCTTCTCATTGGCTGAGACAGATGCGGGAGCCATTGGCTCCCATTGCTGTCAATCACAGCCAGTGAGCCAATGAGAAGACAGGAGGTGGGGCCGAGCCACGGCTCCGTTTGTGAATGGATGCATGGAGCAGTGGATGCCCCTATAGTAACCTGCTTGCTGTGGGGGCACTCAGCAGGAGGGAGGGGCCAGGAGAGCCTGCAGGGGACTCCAGAAGAGGAGGTTCCAGGCTGCTGTGTGCAAAACCACTACACAGAACAGGTAAGTATAGACATGTTTGTTATTTTTTCCTTAAAAAAATAAGCCTTTTGTTTTGAAATATTGTATTTTGCGCCTGTTTCAGTTTATATGGGGGGGGGGGGGGGGAATGGATGTATATTTTTCTATACTGGTTTGTAACTTCTTTCTTATGGAAAAAATGAGTAAACACTATTGAAAAGAGAAAAAAAAATAAGCCTTTAGAATCACTTTAAGTAAAAGTAATCTAAATCTGCTTGTCCATCTGAAAATACCCTTTCCATAGGTTGACAATGCTACTGTCCAAGCATGGCTAATGCAGCTTTGAGGACTAGTTAGCTGCAATATTACATTTTGTTCTTGTGTTTAGTTATGATTTTAGCACCAAATGTTTTTGTATTGCCTTGGTTGATATGCCAGCGTTTACCGGATGTTGTTTTATCAACGCAGGGACTTTCTCCTAGTATTTATATTTAAAAGTATATATTTTTTGGCTTCATGTGCTTTTAAAAATGCATGGTATTCTGAATATAGAATGAGAGACGCAAAACTTACCACGCTGGGATAGATCTGTATCCCTGTTAAGCGAAGTCAGAAAGCAAGAGGAATGGAGGGAAAGTGGCAGGATCACCAGGCATAAAAAGGAACATGTGCCAGTCAATTTATTAATAAAACAATGCATTCCTTAATTATGAATTTTAAGGGTTACACACACTTAAAGTGTTACTAAACCCACAACAGTACAATCAGTGTGTATATGCAGTAAGGCACGCTTGTTATACTCACTTTGGAACCTAAGAGATTAATCCTCTGCATTGTGTAAAAAGGATGTTTGATCCTGTCTTCTCTGACCTCCTCTTCTTCTACAGTCCCCAATCTGCTGATAGTACAGAGCCTTGGGGGCAAGCTGCACATGCTCAGTTTGGTGTGCATTGCTAGAGAGTTTTTTTTTGTTTTGGAAGAGTGCATGTGATCAGCACAGGGCCAATCAGCACTGTCCAGACAGAGGGTCAGGGGTTATGCAGCCTCCTAGGATAATTGCATTTCCATGTTCTGTGTACTGTGGAAGACCAGATGTAGTGAATGCAGTTCACTTTAAACAAAGGAAGTAACATAATCTTGCTATGGTCAGCTAAAGCCATGGGTAACTGATGATGTATCCCAGGAGCATACATCATAATGAATAATATAATGTACAGGATAAACAAGTATGTAGTTATTTTCATTAGCAACCGAAGTCTATAAACTATCACATAACACTGGAAATTGCAGTTTTAATACCCCTTTATTATATATAATTCTTCTCATTTGTACTTCTGACTTTATTCTCCTCTGTGGGTTAAGGCAAAAAAAGTCTACAAAACATATACAGTATTGATCAATGTTAAGACAGCAGCAGCAAATTAGCACTTTAGGGTTTTTTGTGGCCCCAGAGTAACATTTGAGCCCTGTTGCCAGAGAACCTTGTCTTGCTTTTGACAAGTGTGCCTGAATAAAATTCTCTGATTGTGGACTATGTTTAGAAAAATAACAAAATTAATTACTATAATTCAGGTTTTTACTCAGTCATTTTTTTAAAACCTTTAAAGCACCAGCCTCCAGCCTGTCTAATAAATACAGTTTTTCATATCTGTACAGAACATTCAAATCAATTCCACACTGCATTCAGCCACGCTGGTGTTCAATACTTACTGTGCAGGACATTGCCAGCAAAATAATATGTAGATTACTGGACTTGCATCACAAATTTATTTACCTTAAAGAGTAGTTTTACCTGGAAATAAATTCAGGGAATTCATGCAAATCATAGGACATATTCAATATGTTAAAGGCAGAAATCCCAATTAGTTCATCTTAAGAACCCAAAGCTTCTTTATGGCTTTGTTTATCTGCCAAGTTTGTTGCTCTTCCTCTCCTAGGTAAAAAAAGAAAAAATCACCAAAGTAAAATTAAAAAAAATAATAATACATACCTTTTTTATGCTCCAGAGCTGCAATATGGGTTTGATTTACTAAAGGTAAATAGGCTGTTCATTTTGCAAGGGGATTTGCCCCAGAACTTAGTGAATGAGATGACGTTTGCTGACTTCCATCTTCAGATACAAGTAAAAAAAAAAGCCATTTTTTAACCACCTCCCATCCGGCCCATGTATATAAATGGCCGGGCGGTGGCAGTGCAGGGTTGGGTGGCCGTTTATAAACAGCCTCCCCACACCCTGCCTGTGCACCATCCCTGGGAGTGCGCAGCACCGCGATCCGGTGCCCGCTGTGTCCTCCGGACACAGTGGAATAACGATCATCGGACGGGACCTCTGTGCGAGGTCCCGATCATGTGATCACCGATTGGCCAATCAGTGATCACATGCAGAGTAGTAAACAAGATGTCACTTCTAACATCATTGCTTACTACGTGTGAAATTTGTGAATGATCACAGAGGTCACATGGTACAAGGCTATTCACAACAGCCTTGTACCATGTGACAAGCAGTGACCAATCACAGCTCACACAGTAGTTCTCAATGGCTGCAAGAATGCAGCTAGAGCAGCAATGGGCAAACTACGGCCCGCGGGCCGTAACTACGGCCCGCGGGCCGTATACGGCCCGGCGGACCTTTTAATCCGGCCCGCGGAGCGTGGCAAACATTGGCTGTCAGGATGTAGGCGGGGCAGCGTGACGAACTCCTCTCCTCTCAC